ACTGGGAGTAACCATCAGGTGATAGGATTAAGGAAAATGGGTTGGCCTTCAAGTGTGGCTGACCCCATCCCTCTCTCCACAATTAAGAAATGCTAATTGCTTTATGGACCTCAGATGCCTTTAGTAATCTTGGCCAAAAAATCAGAACCATCCCAATCAGATCCCCTTCCTTTAGTCTCCCCCGAATCACCCCTAATTTTAACAAGGAGACAGAATGACAGGTGAGTTGTCACCTGTGGAGGGCCTAGCTCAAGATGGTTTTCTGTTTATCTGTAAATAGTGGCAAGGGTCCAACTTAAACTGGTTTGCTAGGTGGTAGGGCAGAGGGGTAAGAGTGATCACCTTATTCAACCCCTTGTGAGTTATACTGAGAAATGAGGTCTGAAAAATAGGGAAAAGGTTGGATTACAGAATAATATTCTTCAACCTGAAAAGGCTACAAGCCAAGACTAAGGCAGAGGGAGTGTTGATGCATGATTTTCAGTTTGCCGATGACTGTGTACTCAAAGCAGCCTCTGAAGCTGAGACACGACAAAATATGGATTGATTCTCTGCTGCTTGTGCTCATTTTGGCCTAATAATTAACACCAAGAAAACACTGGTGCTCCATCAGCCAGCACAACACGATTCATACATGGAATCACTGGTTACAGCAAATGGAGAAGTTTTGAATACTGTGGATAAGTTCACTTACCTTGGTAGTATACTTTCCAGGGATGTGTACACATAGATAATGAGATTGACGCACATGTTGCCAGAGCTAGCTCAGTATTTGGGAGGCTCTGAAGGAAAGTGTGGGAGAAGAGTTATTAGACTGACTACCAAATTGAAGGTTTACAGAGCTGTTGTGCTGACTTCATTGTTGCATGCCTGTGAAACCTGGACAGTATACCAGTGCCAACCCGGGAAACTGAATCGCTTCCATTTGGATTGTCTTAGGAAGATTCTGAAGATCACCTGGCAGGATAAGGTACCAGACACTAAGGTCCTTTCTCAAACTATACTGCCAAACATTCAAACTCTGCTGCAAAAAGCACAACTCTAACGGGCTGACCACGTTGCTCATATGCCAAACACGTGCTTACCAAAAACACCATTTTACAGAAAACTCACACAGGGCTGCTGGTCACTTGGTGGTCAGAAAAAGTGACAAAAGGACACTCTCAAGGTCTCTCTTAAGAACTTTGGAATTGACTGACAAGAGAGACACCAGCACAGGATCACCCAGTGTGACATGCCCTCATTAAAGAAGGTGCTGTACCCCATGAGCAAGGCAGAATTGAAGTAGCTCTAAAGAAACATTAGATGTGCAAATGTAGAGAATCCACCCCAAACGTCCATATGGACTATTTGTGCCCGACCTGTGGTAAAGCATTCCAGTTCCTATTGGTCTGATCAGCCACAGTCAGACATGTAACTAAACTCTAACATAGCAATGTCATTTTGGTCCTCTTCCAGAACCAAGGACAACAACCACAGAGCAATATTAATTATTAAATGATACAGCGTAATAATTTTCCTCACCCCTCTCAAAATGCACTGTAGTACAGAGATAGAATTGAAGTGGAGGAAAAAAGGAATTGATGTGAAGAAACAGGGAATCAGAAGGGTTCCTTAGCCCTAACCCTAGTCCTATCAGGCCTGGCTGTATCACACTGTCGTTACCAATGTGGCTCTGGATAATTCATTTTCTGGATTCTGGGCCTTACTTTCTTCACCTATAAGATGATGGAGCTGAACTAGATTTATAGCTATGATCCTACTATGTTTTTGTTCAAGCTTTGGGGAGGGGAAGGAAAAAGAGAAGAGATAAGACAGAAGGGGAAAATTGGAGGAGTAATCCAGAGCAAGGAAAGAGCGATTTTAAAAAAGAGAATAAGGGAAAGAAGGAAGTAAATACTGAGGGAGAAGAGGGGAGGGAGGGGGAGACACTAAGGGATACTGAGTAAGGGGGGAAACTGAGGGACATATCGAGAGGAAAGAGATTGAGGGACAGAGAGAAGGAGACAGATAAAGGAAAGGGGAGAGACTGAAGGACATGCAGACTCACAGAAGGTGGAGAGTGAAATACACAGATATGGAGAGGTGAGGGACGTGGGGCTGAGGGGGGAAGGCTGAGAGACATAGAGTTGGGGGACTGAGGAACACAAAGAGGGACGAGACTAAGGAACATGGGATTGGTTGGGGGATAAAACAAAAGGCTAGGAAGCAAAGGGGGCTATCCCCAGTCATCTTGATTTATGTCTTGCCACTGGAACCACATGGCTCTGGAGGAGAAAGTGGGGCTGGTGTCTTTGCACAGCTCTCCCTCAATTAAGTCCAATTCACTTGCAAGTCATGGCATCACCTCCCTGATGTCATGGTCCTCTTTGAGAAAACGAAGGACCAACAACAGGTCACAAAACAAGCCGAGGTTTCACCAAGTAGGTGAGAGAACTAAAATGATTTTCCTAAAATGCAGGTCTGATCACATCACACCTCCCCAGACCCCACTCAATAAGCTTCAGTGGCTTCCTATTGCCTCCAGGAGCAAATAGAAAATCCTCTGTTCGACATTCAAAGACAGAGCCCTTCATAACCTAGCTTCCTCCTACATTTCTTATACCTTACCTAATGTACTCTTCAATCCAGTGACACTGGCCTCCCGGCTGTTCCATGAACAAGATGCTCCATCTCTCAGCTCCAGGCATTTTCTCTGGCTGTTCCCCATGCCTGGAACACTCTCCCTTCTCTGATCTGACTACTAACCTCCCTGGCTTCAAGTCTTAACTACAATCCCACCTTCTACAGGAAGCCTTCCCTAACCTCTCTTAATTCTAGTGCTTTCCCTCTTTTAATTATTTCCTATTTATTTTGTCTATAGCTTGCTTTGTATATATTTGTTTATATGTTATCTTCCCCATTAGATTGTAAGCTCTTTGAGGGCAGGTACTGTCATTTCCCTCTTTTTGTATTCCAGCATAATGCCGGTCACATAGGCACTTAAAAAATGTTTATTTATTGATTGACAGGTATTTGGAAATCTACTCATTCCTTCCAATTCACAAGTTAAAAAAGCAACTGTATTTCTGAACACTGCAGCTTGCAAAGGAGAAGCCAGAAGTCTTTTGTGCAAAGAATACTGACCCAATTTTACACCTATCTGTTGTGATTGTCACTGTTGTCAAAATAGATTATGAAGGATAAGTCAAAAAGATGCTAGAATTAATGGCAAATATCCTTGATGGAAGGAGAAGCTCGAAGGACATAGAGGTGGGGGGAGACTGAGGGATGCAGAGCTGGGATAGGGTACTAATCAAAATTGATTAAAAAAATATTAACAATTATTGCAAAAAGTTTAAGAAATATATATGTGTGTATTTATGCATGGTTCAACAGTAGGAAAATAACATTATCAATCACATTAATACAAAAATCAGTTATTTTTTATTTTTTAAATTAATTTATTTTGATTTATCAACAATTACTTCCATAGGCTTTCAAGTTTCTCCCCCTCCTTCCACACCTCCCTCCCCAAGATGGTGCGTAATCTGATGTAGGCTATACATATACATTCCTATTAAACATATTTTCACATT